AATATCGGTTATCAAATCTGCATTGGCCTATAGGATTGGTTAATAATTGGTCATCTATCTGCCAAGAAGGTCTTTATTGATGCACCCCTACTTTGATAGATTCATATATTGTAGAGTCGGAAGGGACCACAATGGATCATCGTGTCTGACCCCCTGCCCCGGCAGGAAAGAGGACCGAGGTCGGATGACCCCAGCCAGGTGACTATCTATCTAGCCTCCTCTTGAAGACCTCCAAGCTAGGTGATAGCACCACCTCTCTTGGAAGCCCATTCCAGATCCTGACCACCCTTACTGTGAAAAATTTCTTCCTAATATCTAACCTAAATCCACTCTCAACTAGCTTACACCCGTTATTCCTAGTCAGTCCCTGGGGCACCTTAGTAAACAGCGCTTGCCCTATTCCCTGTTGACCTCCCCTAATAAATTTATAGGCGGCCACATGATCTCCCCTCAGCCATCTCTTGTGAAGGCTGAAGAGATTCAGCTCTGTCAACGCCCCCTCCCCTGTCCCTCTTGAAGTGCGGCGCCCAAAACTGGATACAGTAGTCTAACTGCGGCCTGACCAGTGCCGCATAGAGGAGGAGCATCACCTCCTTTGATCTATTAGTCATACACCTGCTAATGCATGACAAGGTGTGATTGGCCTTGTTGATCGCCTCGTTACACTGCTGGCTCATGTTCATCTTGGAGTCAGTTATGTCTCCAAGATCCCTCTCTGCCTCGGAGCTGCTGAGAAGGACACTCCCCAACCTATAGGTGTGCTGCGGGTTCCTCCTTCCCAGGTGGAGTACCTTACATTTATCTTTATTAAATTGCATCCTATTTCTCTCTGCCCGTTGATCCAACTTGTCCAGGTCAGCCTGAATCTGCTCCCTGCCCTCTGGTGTACTAATTTTGCCCCATAACTTGGTATCATCAGCGAACTTGGAGAGGGTGCTCTCCACGTCCTCATCCAAATTGCTGATGAAGATATTGAATAATACTGGTCTGAGGACCAAACCCTGTGGGACCCCAGTGCCCACCTTCCTCCAGGCCGAGAAGGAACCATCCACCACCACTCTCTGGGCGCGGTCCCTAATCCAGCTGGTCACCCGCCTGACTGTAGGCGTCCACTCCGCAGTCTGCTAGCTTCCCAATGAGGATAGGGTGTGAAACTGTGTCAAAGGCCTTCCTAAAGTCTAGGAAGATGACAACAGCGTCAGCTCCCACATCCAGGCAGTGTGTGACCTGGTCATAGAAGGGTACAAGGTTTGTCAGGCAGGATCTACCTGTGACAAACCTGTGCTGGTTTCCCCTTGGCATCGTTTCCCCTGCTGGGCCTGCACAAATGTGTTCTTTGATTATTTTCTCTAGCATTTGCCCAGGAATAGAGGTAAGACTGACTGGTCTAAAGTTACCTGGCCCATCCCTTCTCCCTTTCTTGAAAATGGGCACCACATTGGCCCTTCTGCAGTCCTCGGGGACCTGGCCGGAGTACCACAAGTGCTCGAACAGCTGTGCCAGCGGCTCAGCTATGACACTGGCCAATTCTTTCAGCAGCTGTGGATGGAGGTCATCTGGGCCTGCTGACTTGTACCCATCCAGCTCCTCCAGGACCTCCTTAACTATTTCAGAACTAACCATAGGCAAACTGGTGCCATGTGGACATCCGTCAATGATTGAGGTGGGGGAATTGGCTTGGTTGGTACATAAAAATACCGAAGCGAGGAACTCATTCAAAATACTCAAGCAAAGAACTACTTGTGTTAGACTTGGGAGCCAATTTTGTTGAAGTGAGTTTTAGTATCCCAATAGTTGCTGTCTGATAAGGAACCATTGGCCTTGCATTGGTTCACTACAGTTGCAGTTCCCTTTGGGTGTTATATCATGGTTCCTGGCATTGCACAGAACTGAATGCTTTTAGGAGTTATTTGCGGGGTGGGGAGAAACAACTCATTATTGGGGGTGGCCTTTTCAGATGGCTACTTTGGGTAGTGCTAATGAAACAAATGGCTTAAAACTGTGAATGTCACTTGTCTGAACTGTTGCTCAAGACCAGAATCTAATTTGGACTGTATCTGGATCAATTGTGGGTGGTACATCAGTCACTTCCAAGTGGATTAGGGAGCCAAGACTGCTCCAAACCAGTGTTGGACATGAGGTTCTCCATCTTTCAGGAACTGGAACATGCAGCTTGAAAGAAACTTGCACTTCATTAATGCAATGCAAGCAAAAAGTGCATTCAACTCATGCCTTGCTTCTTTAGTAGTCACAAGACAGCTGACAAAGTGTGTGTTGTCATACTTGTGTAAATGTTGCTGTTATGGGGAAGTGAGCTCTCTTGGGTTTTGGTGTAGAATGGCTGCTTATAAAAAGCTTTCTTTGCCTCATCCTGTAATAAAAGGGGATGCAAAGCAGTGACTCAAATGCCTCTTCCTTACCCTTCCATGGAATGAATGGCAGGGGAAGTATTGATTTTGGGGTGCTGATTTAATACCTCAATTTGGCATGCTCATCTGTGGTAGATCAGACAAACTATGGATGACAATCTTCAGCTGACCAGGCCTGTGACACCTTGCTGTACTGGTGGGGGTGGTGGGGGGTGGAGATATATTATGCTGGTACCTCAGCCTGAAGCATGCTGTCAGGAAAGCTTTCTCTTCTGTTTTTATTTTGTAAATAAATGGAGGACTTTCTTCCAGGGCAGTCCACTGTTATGCCTTGGATAAGCTTTGGCTTGCAAGGAGGATATTCAGTGCTAAGATGAGTCTCATGCAGTCTGTATTTAGGTTGTCATCTTTTTTTCTTTTTCCCTCAAGCATGGTGGCTGTGCATGATGTACAGCACTAGTTATTAGATGTGTTCTTGCCTTGGAAAAGAGCACTTTTTTTGGTTTTGTAAAACTAATATCCAGATCTCCCAAGAGCAAAACTCTTGATTTAACTTCTGTCTGCTGTTTGCTCGTCCCCTCTCTTTCTCTTGCACTGTGGGGTAAAATCTTAGATCTGTAAGAGCCTTTATTAAAATATTATTCTAATGGCTCAAGTATAGCTTTCTTTCCTGAAAGACTCAGACAGCCTGTTGGCTGTTTCACTAGCTCTGTCACAAGCTTTATGTTGTGACCTTAAGTAAATTGCTTCATGTCTATCAGGTTTCCCTTGGAGAGAGAGAAATGAGAATGCAAGGATGCAAGCTCCCAGAAGCAAGGGACACTGAAAAAAGGTGGCCTGTAGCACTATGGGTACTTGAACTTGGTCAGGCTGAGGCATCTGCAGGCTAGTAGAATACAGATGATGACTAAAGCTGGCTGAGAGTGCTCGAATGCATGCTTGCAAGAGCTGCTACTTCCAATATCCAGCCACTAGTAACTTGCTACACAGGAATTGGATGTGCCCTTCCTGTCTCTTTTTCCTAGTGGAGAATACTTTTTGCTAAATGCTTTGTGTGCTTCAGGTCACTGAAAATAAGCTACACATGAGGGACGCCATTTATCTTCTAAATAAGAAGCATCAAGCAGTAAAGCACTACTTGCCTAAGCAAACTTCTTAAATGGGGGAAGCCAGGTGGAGAGAGAAACCATTATAGGTTCTTACTGAAGTAGAAAGAGAGGCATTTTAACTTGTACTGCTGTATAACTTAAGTTATTCCACTGTTTAGGAAAGTCTGCTATGGATGCCCTAGCTTGGGCTAAAAACCCCACTCAAATTGGAAGTTGTAACCTAATTTTGCACATTGGATGTTGGAACGTTTTTGAGAAGCACCTTGGAATCCAACAAATCGTTCTTTTTAGTTTTATTTTTCTATTGCAACAGCTTGCTTGAATGAAATTGCATCCCTTCTCAGTACCTGAGATGCTCTTGATTCCCCATCTCTTCTTGAGAAGAACTGCTCGGTTCTTGTCTTCTACACAGAAGAGCCTGCCTGTCTCTAGGATGGGGAAGGCCCTTTTTGAAAAATAGGAAGTAGAAGCTCTTGCAAGCATGCAAGTGCATTGCTGGAACTTCATTAAGGGCTGTGACCCAGGGCCCAGTCTCCTAAAAAGATGAGAACCTCTGGAACTGATGGGAATACCCCATGGTAAGTAACAGGGGGAGATGGGAAGTAACATATGGAGAAGTCATCAGTGCGTGAGAACGATGTTGAACAGCTTAGAAGATGCTTCTGTGGCGGGAAGAGAATGGGCAGGAAAAGAATCTCCCTACTCAGCTTGCTATTGCTCTGTTTGGCCAAATGTCAAGATGCTTCAGTGCTTCCTTTGCTTTGCAAAGGTGTGATTGATAGGCCATACACCACAGCTCATGCTAAAGATGCAAAGTAGGCAAGCTGTGCAACTGTTTCAAGGGATGGGGAGGATCCCTTCCCTTATCACTGCCAAAATGCATTGAAACTTCAACTGGAGCTTTGATTTTTCTGGACCTGTAAAATCTTCAGCTTTGGCATATAAACTACTATTTGTATACTTTTTCCCTCTCCCTCCCTCCCTAAACATAATTTTAATGAAGATAGTGCCTTGGTTTGTATGTTAGCTTTTGTTTTGGCTTCTTGTGAGGTCCAAGATGGGGCTTGGTACTATGGAGTTCGAGACTAGACTAGAAAATAGCTGAATTGCTGGCTAATATCTTGGAAGATACTTTGGCAAGCTTACATGCCTGTGTCTTCCATACCAAAATTAAATAATTATCAAAGATTAGGCTGTCCCTCCAGTTCATTGATAATTGCAGGGGAAACTAGAACAGAAGCTCTTCAGTTCTCCTATAAAAAGGAGCATATACTTCAAAACCCTTCATAGGTAGCACTGACTCTCAACTAGCTGCCTGTTTTGAAGTGTCTGCAGTGGGAAGACTTGTAGCTCCTGTATGGTTCATATAAAACATAATCAACTGTGACTACAAACAACCTTTCTTTAGCTGTCCGTGTAGTCATGATGTCATCCTTACTGGGGCATGTTTGACCTGCAAATAGAGCTGCCCTGTGCGTTCTCTATGCCTGACTTCAAGGTTATCTGCTAACTTCTTTTTCAGCTGAGGGCTGTGTCTGTGGACCTGAATATTGATCCTTCCCTCCAGATTGATATCCCAGATGCTCTGAGTGAAAAAGATAAAGTGAAGTTCACAGTACATACTAAGGTAATTTTTACCTCCACCAGTTACTTTACCATGACCTTTGGATGCAGTTAGGGAAAAGAGATTCTTTTGACATCCTTGTATATAATGTAACAAATTTGCTTACAGATCTGAATTTGGCTTGCTCAAGTAAAAGCTTGCCCTATCAATATGGTATCTGCAGATTTTTAAGCACTAGCCTTCAAATTCTAAGGCTGTGAAGTTGGATCAGAACCCTCTAAATGTAAGATGTGCAACTGACTCTAGTTGATTTTGCAGATGGGTGGACTCTGCTCTTGGCTCAGGCACGAGTAGAGAGGAAACTGCAACGGACTTCAAAGGGTTTTTTGGGTTTTTTTCAACATTAATGCTTTGTATTTAATAAAGCAATTTGGATCTTCTTTAATAATGAAGATGGGTCCCCTTTTACATGGAGATGACTTTGGCACAAGTTTTACTAGGCTAAATGACTGGCTTGCTCTGGCAGATAACATGTACTCCTAGGGTAAGTGTAAACTTGCTAGCAGTAAGGTTTCTAGATCTTTTCTCTTTCAGACCACGCTGCCAACTTTTCAAAGCCCTGAGTTTTCTGTTACAAGACAGCATGAAGACTTTGTGTGGTTACATGACACACTCTCTGAAACTGAAGACTATGCCGGACTTATTGTAAGTGGTGTCTAATGCAATCCTAGATAAAATACCACAGTAAAATCAGAGATGAAGTGCTGATGCTGAATCTGTTAAAACAAGAATTCAAGTAGCATGTCCTGGCTCTGGTCTTTTATAACAACTGAAACCCTTTGAGCTATATCCTGTCCTCGCGTTCTGGAAGCTGATGGGCTAGAGAGCCAAAGCTAAATTGGAGACCTATACCCATTCCATTCTTGTATCATTCCTGGTCCTGTAAATGCCTTTTTTGAAAGAGCTATCTGTGCACCATTCTGACTTGCAGGTATAATCAAATTCCCAAAATGCTTCAGGGATATTTGCTGGAATAACTAATGAAGAGCCACTATGTGCCAATTTTTAGACTGGCACAAGACTATTGTGGATGAACCCACCTACTTCCATTAACAAACAGCACTGGTCAAAACCTGAGCATCAGGGCAGTGGACTCTAGAGCTCCTCTGAAACCTTCATTACATAGTGAATAGTAGCTGCTACTAATGCAGGCTTTTTTGGCTAGATACCTCCAGCACCCTCAAAGCCTGACTTTGATGGTCCCAGAGAAAAGATGCAGAAGCTTGGGGAAGGAGAAGTGTCTATGACAAAAGAAGAATTTGCCAAAATGAAGCAAGAACTAGAAGCGTGAGTACATGGGTCTTTGACTCAACTTCTTTGGTATGACGTGTCTAGCGGACCAACTTGTTCTGTCCTGTAGGATGCCTATGCTCTAAATCCCGTGGTTTATCTTTTTGCACATTAAAAGTGTTTTTATTGGGCATTATGCCCTGTAGCTGAATGGGGGTGAGGGGGTAGACATGTCTTTCTAGAGGCCTTAAAGAGTAGCTTAGACTCACATTTACCTGGCATGGTTTGAATAGGGGTGATCCTACCTAGAGCAGATTGGATCTCGAGGCCCCCTTCAGCCCTCCGTAGTCTGACTGGTATAACTCTGTCTGGCTCACTCCACCTTAGGGTGACAGGTTGGAATGCTGAAGCACATCACTCTTATAGACTCTCAACCCACTTTTAGATGCAATGTCTCTGTGAATCTATGTGCACTTGAAAAATTACAGTGAATGTGTATAGAATCCATTCAACAGAATAATATCTAGTAAAAGAATACCTTTTTATGCACTGAAAACAGTATAGTGTTTATCCCTATTAAGTCTGTGATCTGGCTGTCTTCCAGGGAATACCTTGCTGTCTTCAAGAAGACTGTATCGTCTCATGAAATTTTCCTTCAGCGAATTTCTTCTCATCCTGTGATCAGCAGAGATCACAATTTCCACGTTTTTCTAGAGTATGACCAGGATGTAAGGCCTCTTCTTAACTTCAATTTTTAATGTTAGAAATAGTTATTTTTCTGGCACATGACTAGAAAAATGCCAAACTTGTATTTTTTTTTTTTAGTGGGGGGGGAAAAAAGCACTATGTACCCTGTGGTATTGTGTGACACTATCTTCCGTGTAATGGCAACCTCCTCTTCTCAGAAGTGGTCCCTTAAGATGTGGCAGAAGCTTAGTAAGCAATTTTTGAGAGGTCTGGCTCCAGCAAGGAAGCTGGTACACCATAGCCCAGAGAAACCTGTCCTTGGTGTAGGGTGACAAAAAAAAACCCCAAAGCTGCAGTTGAGGAGGGAACTCAACAAGCATCTCTAAATAGGTTTGTTGCATTTAGTACAGAGTACCTAAGTGCACTCAAAATAATCTCTGAAACAAACATCCCCTACAGAGAAGGGAAGACTGTTCATTGTGAAGTAGTAAATATCTGTGGTAACAGGCCCTTGTTTACAAGAAAGAAAGCATCTTTAACTTTACCTACTTAGAGGACTGATTGTGTTTAAAAACAAAAAAAAACCCCCAAAACAAAGCTTAAACCCCACAAAGCGTCCATTACAAAAGCTACTTTGGGCTGCATTTCTACAATCTTCTGGCATACTTTTTGTTTTTAGCTAACTGTCCGGAGGAAAAATACGAAAGAAATGTTTGGTGGCTTTTTAAAAAGCATGGTGAAGAGTGCTGATGAAGTCCTCTTCTCTAGTGTGAAGGTAAGATGCTATTCTCCCTTTCCAACAATAGATAAATTCTGGTGTGAGGTGAGGAGTGTAGATTCTCCTCCTCCTCTCTCTTCCCCCCTTCCCCCCCCCCCCCCCCCCAAAAAAAAAAACAACAACAAAACAAAACAAAAAAACCTCCTTTTTAGCTTAAAAGAATTGATCTCTGAGTACTGGGTTGTCTATCAAAACAAAACTGTCTGGCTAGAATGTTACTGGCAAGCTTGGGTGAAAGGGATTAATCTTTGGCTCAAGGATCAAAATACCAGAATTTAGTAACCAGGAGGTCAAATAGTTCCTGACTCTAGTCTTTAAAAAAACAAACAAACAAAAAGTTGCTGCTCTTTTCCTGTTGAAACAATTACCCAGTGGTAGCCATAACTAAAAAGGTAAAAATAAACTTTTGTGATCATGACAGTACTGCTAGAAAAGTCAGAACCTGCAACCCCAATCTACAGTCTTTTCTTGTAGATCTAAAAGCACTTTCAGTCTTGAGAACCAGCTTGCCAGGGCTAATAGTACAATAGGCTATAACTCAGCCTACAGTTTAAAACTTGGCTGGGAGAAATTTATAGTTCAAGGACTGTTTACAGTGCCTCAGATCACCGAGTGACTAACTTGGGTCAAGACAGGAGTGGATGTCCAGGGTACCAATCTGATTGCCTTTGGTCAAGGCTTATACATCATTACTTAATGGCTGAATGTGCCACAGCTTTAAGGACTTGCCTTGGAACTATTACCCAGTTTCAAACATGGGTAATAGTTTTAATGGGGTATTGGAATGACATCCAGTGGCTTCCTTTTAGACCCCAACCCTATTTTATGAAAGCCATTTGATTTCTAAGGGAGGAATCTTGTGACACTTTAGGCATATCAAACAATTACGGGAGTCTTCTCTAAAATGCCAGCCAAGGTCTATCTTAATTTGCAATGCAAACAGCGTTAATCCCAGCTATTGAAGGATCTGATCCAAGATTAGCACATGGCACAAACCCCATTATGTTTTGGGGCATGTTACAAATGTCTTATTGTACTATTATGGCATGTAGTGGATCATTGGAAAGCTCATGTTCTGCTGTATTAGTCTGTCACCTGCATATTTTTTTATGATTTTAGATATAGTTTAGTCGAGGAAAGGGAGGAGGTAGAACTGTGAAATCTCTTGCCATTGTGACTACAGCAAGAAGAATTGCCATGGCCAGGCACCAGTAGAAAGGGTTGATTCTCTTGCATGTAGTGGGGAAATTGACTCCTGTATAGCAGAGGCATCCAAGACCAGTAGCCCATCAGGATTCTGCTTTAGAATGCAGGTAAAACAAAGCAGTACTTGCTCAGTAGCCTTCTACGAATTTAGAGCATCCTTCACTAAAGGGTGGCCTTTGTAAGTGGCCACTTCTGTATTCAAAAGTGCTGAGACATCCAGGTGAATTATTTCTCTCCTGTTAATTGTAAACTAATACTTGTTAACTGGAGAACAGCCTTCTCACATGAACCCAACCTTTGATGGTTATTCCAGTGGTACTGTCAGACCTTAGAGGTTGGTTTTCCAAAGTTTCATTTGAAACCTGAAATATGCTCTTGAGGAAAGGATGATGTGCTTGCAGGTACATAGTCATTCACAAAAATAGCCATTGCTTACACAACAACTGAAGTCTTCACTTTGAAGACTACTGCTCTTTGAAGCCTTAATTAAGCTGCTGAGACTAGTGATGTACAAACTGTACCTTCCATGTCCTAATGCAAGCTTTTTTTTTTCTAGTAAGTTTCTAAGGAACAGGCCATCAGATGTCACAATTGTGTACATCTAAAGATTATTTGAATTTCAATTTTTTTCTAAATTTTCTTTGCCATGGCAATTTACTTGCTGCTTTTAAGATGGTTTTTTTGTTTTTGTTTTTTTGTGTTTAGCTGTCTTAAAGACTTTGTGTGTTTAAAAAAACAGACAAACTACGCAACCAAATAGTTGGATGTAAGAAAATGACCTTGTTCCAGTTGGCCTGGGGAGAATAAAACCACTACCATATGTAGTGTGTAAGGCTGTGGATCTTTTAAGAGCTGCATGGATATGTATCAAAAGAAAAGTTAGTCCCATGGATCCTTCAGCTCTGTAAATGAAAGAATTTTGTAGAAAAGAACTGGCAGGTTTCACTTTTTTAGTCTCAAAGGGAAGGCTAGAAATGTACAGCCACACCTATGTACAGTGACAATTTGCATCTACACAAGGGCAAAGGTTTGGTCTCATTTTGAATATCTACTAAATGCGATGGCTGCTAAGGCTCTAACAACTGATTTTTTTTTTTTTTTTTTTTTCTTTATTTGTTAAAAACCCTTTTGTTTTTTTTTTTCTTCCCCCCCCCTCCCCCAGGAGGTAGATGACTTCTTTGAACAAGAGAAGACTTTCCTTGTGAACTATTATAACAGAATCAAGGATGCATGTGCAAAAGCAGATAAGATGACAAGATCTCATAAAAGTAAACCTTGTTCTAAAGCTCTTCTAAACAGACTTGCTGGTGCTTAGAGATGACACTAAAAAGTGCTGTCTGTCTTGACAGATGTTGCAGATGACTACATCTACATCTCTGTTTGTTTGAACAGCCTGGCACTGGAGGAGCCAACAGTCATCAAAAAGTGAGGATTTAATTGAACCTTTTCTTGGCTTGCTAATAAGCTCCAGAAGCCTAATCCTGTATTAAAAAGCCAACAAACTGAATCTTAATTCCCAGTCTCCCTTGTTTGCTAATATCTAGCTTTGTGTTCAGAACTTATGTCAGTCTACCGTACTGAGGACTTGATTTGAAAATTCAAATGTTCAAGTCGGACTGGGGCTGTATAAATTGTATCTTGCAGCATGTGGGGCTTGTTGATGTGGCTAGCTTGAACCTTGGAGCAGTGGTAGAGGGAATGGAATACAGCAAGACCTATGTTCACCCAATGGATTCTAGAGCTGCTCCAACAGCCACACAAGCGAGCTGCTGCCCTGCCACTGGAGGTGTGGGTCATCTGGCCTACAAGAAGTTCTGCAGTCCAGGTCTGGCCCAAAGGACAAAATAAATTGGACAGACTTGCAGTAGATCAAAGCCAAATTCCAGTTTAAGACTTGAGCTGTAAGATTTGCAGGATTTCTGGCCAGGATTCTAGTTGGCTTTTCTGCAACTAAAGTTTCTAGCCTGTACAATGGCCACTGTTAATGGTGATAGCAGCACATGGTATACTGTTGCTATCCCTGCTTGGAGCTTATCTTCACTGTAACAAAGCTAAAATATTGGGCTGCTCGGGGGGGGGGGGGGTTGCGGGGTGGTAGGAATGGTGCATGCCCCCATCGTGTTAGCTTGATCCAGGTTTGCCTGGTGCCTGTATAACTCATCTGCTTCAGCGGGGTGCTCTGGTGCTTTTTTTCTAATAACTGATTAAATTGACTGTTGGAGAAAAGCCCTGCTGAAGCATGAAGATGCTGGGTCAAACTAACATTATGCCTTTTGTGGGCATGTGCTGTGCTTAGCATGGTGATGCTCCAAGGTGGGGGGGGGGTGTAAGCAGCCTACCTGATATGGAAGCAACAGATTCCCAAACACTTTCTGGACATATGTCATCCAGGAGATGACAACTTTTTTTTTAAGCACTTTCTGTGTACCTTTTTTTTTTTTTTTTAGGTACTTGCTGAAAGTTGCTGAACTCTTTGAAAAACTGAGGGTGAGTTCCCTTCAAATAACCCTATACTTAAATCTAGGTGTTTTGTCTTGCATCACTACTATCTAATCTTCTCTTCTGTAGAAGGTAGAGAGTCGTGTTTCATCTGATGAAGATTTAAAGCTGTCTGAGTTACTGAGATACTACATGGTTAACATAGAAGCAGCAAAGGTGAGATCTCTCTTGTGCTGTCAGTCACTGAACTCTAATATTGTAACTGACTCTTTATCAAAAGTAGGTGGGCATAGATTGAGACACCTTTGTAATCCTACTCTCAAAGGTGGATGGGTGCTAATATGAAAAGTGGGGATACATACCTTCTTAGTGTTGAGGGTCCCTTCCAAGTAGTTCTTGCCTTCAGAACTGGGTAAGAATACAGCAGCCAAGGTATTGGGTTCCTAATTGGAGTAAATTCTATTTTAGACCTTACACAACTTTTTTTAACCCAACTTTTGTGAAGTTTAAATAGGATTCAAGCCTCTTATTTCAAATTACTTGCTTGCATTAGGTACCCCTGTGCCAACTGTCCTAATGACCTGAAAGAGCAATTGGCATAAGTGCTTGCTCTTTCATGACTCATCTTGATGAGAACACAACAGTAGACTCAATACTGACTTTTTATCGTGGATTTGGTGTAATAATAGACTCGCATTTACTGGGGAATATCAGATTGGATATTCCAGTAGTTTGTCTGCTAGGATCTTCCACAGACTAAGCAAACCTTGCTGGTCAAGAGTCCATTCTAATAGTATCCAGCTGGTGTTCTTTTTATATGAAGGGCATCTCTGGGTAGCACAATACATAAGATTCCAGTTGGTCCATTTTAAAGCTGTCTGAATTCAAACTTGTCAAGCTGTATAAAATTAAGACCATATATCAGGCTTTAAAGGACTAACACTGCCCTACACAAGGTCCTGTAATTCAGTGTTTCCCAACCAGTGTGCCATGGCACAAGTGTGCAGTCAGAAATGAACAGGTGCTGTGGAATTTTGCCATGGCAATGAGCTACGATAGGTATGAAGATGGGGGAATGCCTTAACAGGTGTGCTGCAGAAACAATTTCTTAATGTAAGTGTGCCTTGGGCTGGAAAAGGTTGGGAAACACTGCTGTAATTCTCTAAATTCCTAGATCAGCACTCCTAACACCTGAAGTTTAGACTATATCAGGGACAGGTTAGATTTGATTTAAGTAGCTGGTCAGGAAGCCTCAATGGTTGTCTACAAAGTGCATTCTTGTTTGATATCCTTTATTCATTTAACTCCTTCTAATGTTGCACTTTTTAGAGAACAGTGTAAGGGCTTGACTGTGTATACACTAACTTGCAGAGACAGTAGGACTGATGGGTGGGTAATTGGGTCTGTTATCTCTCATCTCCATATACTGCTGTTAACAAGGATGTTACCTCTAGAGACAACACTTTCTCCTTACGCCTGAAGAAGGTCATTTGTGCTCAAAAGCTTGTAAAGAAATGGTTTTTCCAAATATTTAGTTGGTCTAATAAAAGAGATCATATCTACCCAAAGAACCTTGTCTGCCTATGATCTCTCAAATCCACAGTTTGAGAACTGAAACTAAGCATCACAGAGGGATCTTCTAGACTGAGCAGAGTCTCATTGGGTAGAGTGGCTTTCTTTAATCTTTACTAATCTGTAGAGGAGCCTCTGGGGATCCCATAAGATTGGGCCCCTAATGTAGTCCATGGCTTGTTATATCCTATTTATAAAACTTCTTTGGAAGGTTATATTCTATTTGAGACAACATATTTATGTAACTAGAAGCTATAATCCCTATTCCATGACGATATCTTTTGAGCTTTAACATATCTTAAATTTAAAACTATATATACATCTTGGCTCTTTTTTAAAGCACCTTTAACAAAAATAATCTGATTTTAAATTTAAGTAAATGCATTGGATTTTACTTATCTATCTTTTAAAATGCTGATCTTTATCCACCCTGGTCAAGGAATAGCATTGATGGTTTTAGCAGGACCTTCCTTCTCCAAAAGGAGGATGCTTGAAGCAGGAAGGGCAGCTCTTGGGGCTGTGGGGGTTATAGATAGATATATCTTCTGTATCAAAGGAAGAAAAAGCTAGCTTTAAATAGAATTATGACTTTTTTTTAAAAGCAAACACCTGCCCTAGAGCCCCCAAAATAACAAAGTAAAGCTCCCCTCTTAAACTCAAAAAAGGCTAAAAGTAGCTTTACTTGGAGTCAGGATTTAAGTACTTGCCTTGTAAGGGTGATATCCTACTTTGTTTTGAGTTGTTTTTTTTTTTTTTTTAGGATCTCTTGTACAGGCGTACTCGGGCTCTTGTTGAGTATGAGAACTCCAACAAAGCTCTGGATAAAGCTAGATTAAAAAGCAAAGATGTCAAACAGGCAGAGGCACATCAGCAAGACTGTTGTCAAAAGTTTGAGAAGCTTTCAGAGTCTGCAAAACAAGGTACAACATCTTACTAACAGCACAACTTATGAATACTTTCCATTCTTTCTCAGGTCTCTATTAGAAGGTACTTCTCCACAGTTAGTATCTTTCTGCTTGGTGTCCCAATCCTCAAGTTTTCTCTTTGGGTCTCCAGGTTTGCTTTTGAGGGTCAAAGTTTGCAACGGCTTGACAATCATGCAGACTGCTTCCATGCAGGCACTTACTTTTCATTGAAGTCACCACTACTCTAAGCTAAATAGCTACCTTCCCAGGTCTGAAAGCTACAGCAATATAGAAGCATAAAGAATTCCCTCTAGCAGGCTTGTTTTGCATCAGTGTCTGGGGTGAACCTTCCTGTTCCTTAGGTGCAGGCAAGGTGGTTAATTTAAATCTCTGAACTAAACTTCAGGTACTTCTTGGGACAACAAAGTGGCCATCTTGGTTCAGAAGCAAGGTCCATATGGACAAACTGCAGCCATTTGCATAAGCAAGGGGTTTGCCTAATGGAAAAGAGGCTAAAGCCTTCTGACCAGATGTGTGATCCTGCTAGTCTCCTGCATAGCGCTTTTTTTTTTTTTTTTTTTTTTTTCTTTTCCTTTTTCCCCCCCTGCCCCCCCCCCTTCCCATA